ACTGAGACGACAAGCGAAGCATCACGCGGCGGGGACGTGCCTCCTTTTCCGTACAGCTCCCTCTGTGCCTCGACCTGTCCATCCGACGCGACTCGCCGAGCATTGGCGCCAGTCTTCGGCATGCGGTTTTCGGCGGCGGGCGACGGGAAAAAGTGAGACGAAGAAGGCCTTCCCTGAAGGGGCCCCCAAACACACAAATAAATACACACAAATAAAACGATTCCCCATATGCTCCCATATCTTCTGGGCTTTTGTCTTCCCCCCCGCTTCCCATATTTCCCTATATTTCCCTGGGGATCGACGATTCATTGTGCCCGTGTGTTTCTGCCCCTCCTGATGCTCAGACGGCGGCAAGGCCTCTCAGAAGCCCTCCGACCTTCTGAGAAGTTTTCGGGGACCTCTCAGAAGGCCCGGAAACTTCCAAGCCTTCTGAGGAGGCCTTCTCCTTCTCACTTCCCCCCCTCGCCCGCCGCCGAGGTTTGAGACTCCCACCAGCCATCTTGGCGCAGCTGGGTTTGGAGCGCGTCCACTGCCAAACTCCGTCTCGTCCTCTTTGGCTCTCCCCCTTACGCTTGGGCCTAGGACAGAAGAACATCCTTCAAGAATATGGGACCCTCCGTTTCGGCATCTTCTTGGTGATCGACATTCTTTGTGGCGATCAAGGCTACACCAGGTTGGTACATCATTAACTTATACAAACCCTTCTTTCCCTGATAGAAGACAGCCGCGGAACAACGGTAGGGCACGACCACGATACGGGGCGTGAAAACGACCACAGCCACTGCTTTTCTTTGGTTGCCGCCTTCCAGCCCGCAGAAACAAAGCAGTGGTTGTGGCCATTTTCGTTGAGTTGGCACCAGGGAAATGACCACAACCACTGCTTCTTTTCCGGCCGGCTGGAAGGCGGCGCAAACAAGAAGCAGTGGCTGTGGTATTTTTCCCGCCCCGCACACGAGCACCCACCAGGGCAGGCAAGGGACCGCTTCACGGGACAGCCTCGCGGGACGCGCACGGGCCAGCCGCGAGCCAACCGCAGGACAGCAAAGCAGCACAGCGCCCGAGGACGACCAGAGGAAGCTCCCTGGAGCCCCGACACGCCATTGGGACGCCCGAGATGGAGGAGGAGGAGGAGGAGGAGGAGGAGGAGGAGGAGGAGGAGGAGGAGGAGGAGGAGGAGGAGGGAGAGGAGGAGGGAGAGAAGGAGGAGGAGGAGGAGGAGGAGGAGGAGGACGGGGAGGACGGGGCGGAGAGGAGTGCAGGATCTGGGTCACCTGCGGGGGGGGGGGGCGCGAAGGTGGCCGCGCTCCGCGCGTGGCGGCCTGGGCCACGCTTTTGGGTACGATGCCCAACAGCAGTTCCTGCCCATTTTGAACAGGACTCGCTGTCCGCGCCGCCGCGGCCTGTGTCCGCTCGAGACAGGAGGCCGCCTGCCCAACAGCGGCCGCTGTTGGTCTGGGACAGCATTTGTTGTTGGGCATTGTGCCCATTCTTTCGGGCGTCCAAGACGGTGCGGTGATGGACCGTGCGGTGACCTCGAAATCCCCAAAGACCTCACCGCACGGGCCGTCAACGCACGGTCTTGGGACCTCGGAGGCCCCAGTGGGCCCGAGGCGTCCTCGGAGAACGACCCGAATCCCAAAACTCGCGCGGTGACCCCGAACCCCCACCGACTCACCGCACGGTGTGGTCACCACCCCGTTTGGGGCCCCCCGAGAAAATCACACGGGACACCCCCCCGGGACGATCACGAGCCAACAACGAGCCAATCGAAATGATAGTGGAAAATTATATTGGCGAAAGACCCAACCATATGCAGTTGTGAATACCGCAATTGTGAATACCATCTTTGCCCGCGCTCCCTATGAGGCCACGGCTTCCCGCCGGAGCCCGACATGCTCAGGGACACGTTCGTGGCCGTCTTCGCGGGCGCCGACGACGGCAAGGACGGCGTCCCTCTCACCGAGGAGCAGAAGCAGGAAAGGGCCTTGAGAGCCATGAGGGAGGAGGTGGCGTTGCACGTCGACAGGGCGGAGTACGACGCCCAGGCGCGGTTGTTGAAGCAGCACAACTATGGGGCCACGATCCTCGTGAGGGGTGTGCCGAAATGGCCCGGGGCCGCCATGCGAACCCTGCCACTGGCGCCTTCGGCGGAGCTCCAGTGGGGCCACGGTCCTCGTGAAGGGTGTGCCGAAATGGCCCGAGGCCGCCATGCGAACCCTGCCACTGGGGCCTTCGGTGGAGCTCCCTATGGGGCCACGATCCTCGTGAGGGGTGTGCCGAAATGGCCCGAGGCCGCCATGCGAACCCTGCCACTGGCGCCTTCGGTGGAGCTCCCTATGGGGCCACGATCCTCGTGAGGGGTGTGCCGAAATGGCCCGAGGCCGCCATGCGAACCCTGCCACTGGGGGCCTTCGGTGGAGCTCCCTATGGGGCCACGATCCTCGTGAGGGGTGTGCCGAAATGGCCCGAGGCCGCCATGCGAACCCTGCCACTGGGGGCCTTCGGTGGAGCTCCCTATGGGGCCACGATCCTCGAGAGGGGTGTGCCGAAATGGCCCGAGGCCGCCATGCGAACCCTGCCACTGGGGGCAGTCGGTGGAGCTCCCTATGGGGCCACGATCCTCGTGAGGGGTGTGCCGACATGGCCCGAGGCCGCCATGCGAACCCTGCCACTAGGGCCTTCGGTGGAGCTCCCTATGGGGCCACGATCCTCGTGAGGGGTGTGCCGAAATGGCCCGAGGCCGCCATGCGACCCTGCCACTGGCACCTTCGGTGGAGCTCCCTTTATGGGTCCACGATCGTCGTGAGGGGTGTGCCGAAATGGCCGAGGCCGCCATGCGAACCTGCCACTGGCGCCTTCGGTGGAGCTCCCTATGGGGCCACGATCCTCGTGAGGGGTGTGCCGAAATGGCCCGAGGCCGCCATGCGAACCCTGCCACTGGCGCCTTCGGTGGAGCTCCCTTATGGGTCTACGATCGTCGTGAGGGGTGTGCCGAAATGGCCCGAGGCCGCCATGCGAACCCTGCCACTGGCGCCTTCGGTGGAGCTCCCTATGGGGCCACGATCCTCGTGAGGGGTGTGCCGAAATGGCCCGAGGCCGCCATGCGAACCCTGCCACTGGCGCCTTCGGTGGAGCTCCCTATGGGGCCACGATCCTCGTGAGGGGTGTGCCGAAATGGCCCGAGGCCGCCATGCGAACCCTGCCACTGGGGCCTTCGGTGGAGCTCCCTATGGGGCTACGAAACGGTGTGCTGGGTGGGTGAAACGCAAGGAGGAGGGGGAGGAGGAGAGGAGGAGAGGAGACGCGGGCCACCGTCTCTTCAAAACGAGGACCCAACACCACAGGACGGTTGGGAAAAACAAGAGGACGTACGCATCGCGGACGGGGAGGCGTGGGGGCAACTTCGCTTCGATTGCACGCACGACGCGACACGATGCCGCACATGCGCGACCACATGATGCGGAGAAGAAAATGTCATGCCACACTTGAGCAAACACAGCCCTCACGATCCGTTCCAGGACCTTCTTCAGACAACCTCGGGCCCGTCCAATTGGTGTGCCTGAGAAGCCCGAATGGCGAAGGAGCGCACGCACACACACACACACACAGACACAGACACAGACACAGAGAGAGAGAGAGATATATTGTCCGAAAACGGCTCAATGCAGCCTGGAAAAGGCTACGTGTTCTCTACTAGCGAAAGGCGCAGACACCACTTGAACTTACGTGTGCACGGTGGCAGATGCAACGCTCAAGATGCGCACTGCCCCATTGCAGCATCCCCAAAGAGTTTGCACACCTCATGACCTTGCCATTCTGCACGTAAAGGCGCCTAATCTCCACGAGGTCGCCGTCGTCAGTGCCATCGTCAGTCACGAACTGGGTTACCACCGTCATTGGCTTCGTGGTATCGACAGTGAACTCTTTGCCAGGTCCAAAAAAGTCTTCCTTGCCCATGCGGTAGGAGTTGAAATCGCAGCCGTCCTTGTCGCAAACTCCGTCGTAGCGCTCCTTTTTCGCGTTGTCGCCGCACTCCTTCCCCTTGCACAAATACGTCTCGTCGATAGTACACGGGTGCATCGTGAAGGCTGTGGACTCGGAGTTCGCCTCCCAGATGTCGACCTCCGCGCAGCACAGCCCGTACTTGCCGAGCGCGGCGGTCGTGTTCCACTCGAGGGTATTGCTCTCGCCATTCATGAACTTCACGTCATGCGGGCACTGGGCGTCGCAATAGCCCGTCCCGTACTTCGCACCGGCCTTGTTTCCCTTGTGCTTCATGCCACCGTCCTCCTCCATCTCGCTGAAGTACAGCGCGCCGTTCAGGCCGCAGGGCAGGGTGGACACGTCGACATCGAAGGTGAACTCCTTGTTCAGCAGCTTCCACTGCTTGTACTTGTCCGGCTTCTCCAGCACGTACATGCGGGAGCCGACGTTCGGGCCGCGCACAAAGCCCAACTCGACGCCGCCGGGGACCGGCGTGATGCCGTAGGTGTTGTCATAGTCGTCGAGGGTGACGCCCTCGAGGGCGCAGTTCTCCGCGCAGGACTTCGGGTCGGGGCACATGGTCTTGTCCCACGACCCGTCGGTGTAGCAGTTGCCCGAGCTGGAACACTGTGCGGCCGGGCCCGTACCCTGGCAGGTCTGGCCGTGGGTCCAGCGCCAGTTGGCGTCCAATGTCAGGGCCCTCTGCTGCGCCTTGCAGCCATCCTGGAGGGTGCACTCTGCGATCACAATCGGCGGCCCCTGCTCCACCTTCGTTGCGCCTGGCAGCTGCGCGACAGCAACGGCTGGAAGGCACGCGATCGCCCGGATGAGCTGCATCCTCTGCCGCCGGCGCTGCCGCCGCTGCACTGCTGCCTGTGCTGCTGTCGCCTTTAGCAACCCAGCGGGAAACCGTCTGCAAATGCTTGAGCCAAGGACCAACCCGTGCTCGCTCATGAGTTCAGGAGTGCGACTGCTCGTGCAGTCCTCCTGCTGCCAGAAGGAGCGCGGAACAAAGAAAGGAAGGCGCCCTTCTGGCCACGATGAGCCTCGGCCTCGAAGACGTTCCCAGACCCAGATCGAAGGAACGGCCCGAAAGTCTGAGCTTCTCTCGAGCCCAAGGCGGTCCCTATTTCAGCGTTCGAGTCGGAAGGCACGTGCGGCGTGCTCATTGGAACACGTGGCGCCCTGCCGCAAAAAGAGCGCTCAACAACCTGTTCTGACACCGCCGCCCGACTATTCCGCGAAGGAGGGGGGCAGGGAAGGGGGAATGGGCGCTGTCAGCTTTCATGGGCGCGACAGCCTGTGCTGTAAGCATGGCCCGCCATCTTCAGCAACTTCGCAACCCGCACCTTCTTCGACACGTGTTTTCCGATGCACCTGAAACCCTCCACCCCCCTTCCCTGGGCTAGATTCTCACCCTTCCCTGGCCCGAAGGGAAGCATAACTACATGAGCAGAAACTTTCGGAGGTCTGGGCGAGCTTCTTGGATCGTCGTGGCCAGACTCCCCTGGCATCGCCTCCAGCGCCGCACCAGGCGCGCTCCGCCCGCTGAGGAAGGCAAGCCCAACGTTGATCCAATAAATCCGCGAGAACCTCCAACAGTTTTTCTTCGAAAAAACAAATGTCCAAGCACTGACGAAAGACAGCCACTTCGCTCGCCCAGTAGCGTTGCATCCCATGCTTACGTCGGGCGTGTGCCTCTACAGGAGGAATATTCAAAAGTGTCAACAAATAGTCTGGGGACGACCTTTTGAGTATTTGTCACCATTTTTGGTGTACATTTTGATGTGTTTCGTTTGTCACACAAATTCCGCCTGTAGAGGCACATGCCCGACCGAATCCCATGCGCAGATTCCCAGGGAACCAGAACTGGTCACCGGTGCCGGGGCGCCACTTGGGACGCCAGCGGCCTCAGAATCCGGGAGGCCACGTCCGCCTCTGGAGGCCGTCTCCAGGCCCCGAGGCCCTCGAGACGACGCTGGACGAACAAAACCTTCCCCGGGAAGAGGTCGAGGAGGAGGAGAAGGAGGAGGAGGAGGAGGGGGAGGAGGGGGAGGGGGAGGAGGAGGAAAAGGAGCAGAGGGAGGAGGAGGAGGAGGGAGGGGGAGGGGGAGGAGGGGGAGGGGGGAGGAGGAGGAAAAGGAGCAGAGGGAGGAGGAGGAGGAGGAGGAGGAGGAGGAGGAGGAGGGGGAGGAGGAGGTGGAGGGCGGGGGGGCCTTCGTCGCGGGCAGGATGGCGTTGTCGGAAGAGGGGACCACGCGACGCCCGCCGACCACGTCTAGGCGATGCTTGAGAGAACCCAAGTTTTCGGCCAGAGTTTCGATTATTCTTAATGTTTCAATGTAGATCCTACAAGCCTCGTCAAAAATAAGCGGAAACGCAGCTGGAAATCACGACGATCGATCTTCTCGGGCACTTGTTAGAAACTGCGTTCTTCAATGCTGCGGAGGGGTCGTCGGATTTTTGAAGCCCTTGCGTCCACGTCAGATATCTAGCGTCAGCATTGGAGTAGCGCCGACAATACAATCACCGAAAACATAATCCCTCAGTATATTTTTGACGAGGGTTGTAAGATTTGAACAGACATTCTGGGTTTTTTCTCCAAGTTCTGAGACTATGAACTTCTTAACCCATGATTTCTGAAGCATTTCGCAGGGTGTACAACGAACGTCAAGACATCCTACCCCGCCGTCGCCCGTTACCTGGGGGACGTCGCAACTGGGAACGGGTGCAGGGGGAAACCGTTGACTCGGGGGCGCGCAGACGTGGATCGGCGGAGGTGCCCTCCCCGAAATGCGGCCAGTGCCGCCTCGTGCGGCGGCGGAGATCCGCGGCTTCTCATGGAAGCGGGACCCGCCGCTAATCCACGCCCCCTTGATCCATGCTTGCGATCGCCTGAGCTGACGCAGAATCGGCGATGCAGCGCCGACATATCGGCGAGGTGCCCCCCGTGACGACACCGACCTTCCCTGGGGGCGTGGGGGGCCCAGGCCCCGATCGGAAACGAATGTGCGGCGGTCGCTGCGTCGCGTCCCTGGACAAGTCCCCCCCTGTATGCGCCCCTGACATTCAGGTGTTGCTTTGTTTTTTGTGCTTTTTGTTCTCTTTCTCTCTCTCTCTCTCCCTCTCCAATACTCCTTCTCCCCGACTTCAGGGGGGCCCGCATGCTGACACGAGCGGCAGGAAGAAGTCGCGCAGACCTCCTTCTCCCAAGGCTCGAGCGAGAGCCTCGGACCTAGATCACCAAACTTCGCACATCGCACCCCGAGATGCACGACGCGGGGTCATCTTCGCGCCCTCCCTTCGCCGCGCGCGCTTCTCCAACCCGAGCAGCGATGCGCGAAGCGCCCCTCGCGCACATGCAGGTGGCGTGGCCTTCGGGGGGACAACCGGCTCCCTCGAAGCTTTCGCTCGTTCCCCTCCGGGCGGGGGAGAAGACTGGATGGGCAAGGGGTAATGTCTAAAGGGAGGTTGAAGATAGCGAGGTCGATTGAGCGCGCGTTGGGCTATGGCGAAACTGAGTATCGGTACCAGGGGTGGCCATGGTTCCAGGCGGCCTCAGCATTTCTGAGGGCCGCCAGGTGGTATCCAGAACACCCCATCCGGCGGCCCAGAGGGCCCCAGGGGCTCCCCATTGGCGCGCAACAACAACAACGACAACGACAACGACAACAGCAACAACACTAACAACAACACCATCAACAACAACAACGACGACGACCACAACAACACCAATGGCAATAACAACAACACCACCGACAACACCACCACCAACAGCAATAATCACAACAACGACAGCAGCAACAAAAGCAACACCAACACCACCGACCACAGCAACAACAAAAACAACAAACAACAACAACAACAACAACAACAACAACAACAACAACAACAACAACAACAACAACAACAACAACAACACCAACAACAACAACAACAGCAACAGCAACAACAACAACAACAACAGCAGCAGCAACAACAACCACAACAACAACAACAACAACAACAACAACAGCACAGCAACAACAACAACAACAACAACAACAACAACAACAACAACAACAACAACAACAACAACAACAACAACAACAACAATCACTAGCACGTGGGGACACTCCGTTCTCACCAGTGCCAGGGTTTTCATAGGAGGCGGGCAATACCCCCACTTTGTGGGGGGGCCGGTTCAAGCTCTACCAAATTTCCAAACGACTCTTCGCCACCACCCACACCCAGCTTCCCGCCCTATGACGTTCGGACACTTCACTTCGTGGCCTGCGGACGACCTTGGCTACTACACTGGCGCATGGTTACAATGACTTCTTGTGGTAACATCTTGTGGAAACTAGCTTAGTATACGACTTATACCCCTGTTCCAACAATGGGCACGTGTACCGTTTTCCGACGTTTTAACGTTTCTGTACCACACAAGCCAAGACCCTTATTTTGACTGGTATCACGTGCGTGGCGCCAGCATACCACAGGACTTGTTTCCGTTGTTGTGAGACGATATATGCTCATTCTTGTTCTGTGGTTCTCGTTCCGGCCTCAATGTGCAATACTGGCTCACTCGTCGACGAAATACACGTGACTACCTCTCTCTGGTTGGAGGTCCTGATGGTTGTGGTTGTCCCGATAATTGTCGCGATGAGTGTCCCGATGATTGTCCCGATTGTTGTTCCGATGGTTCTCCCGATGGTTGCCCCGATGGTGGTCCCGATCGTTGTCCCGATGGATGTCCCGATGGTTGTCCCGATGGTTGTCCTGATGGTTGTGGTTGTCCCGATCGTTGTCCCGATGGTTGTCCCCATGGTTGCCGCGATGGTTGTTCCGATGGTGGTCCCGATGGTTGTCCCCATGGGTGCCCCGCCGGAGGAGGAGGAGGAGGAGGAGGAGCAGCAGGACAAGGCGAGGCGGACGCATACGTGCTCTGGAAGCATACTAAAGAGACGAGTCTGTGTGCTCATCGTCTTCTGGCATGCGCCTGTCCCTAATGGCACGCATCGGGCGCAATACTGCAAGCTGCGCTCCTGGCACCCATACATCAGGGGCCAAGTGTCCCAGCATGGTGCCGATGCGCCTCCTCGCGGACACATCGCCCGTGCGTCCGTGGGGCGCCAATACCGCCAGGACGCCCTGGACATGCGCCGGCATACCCAGATCCACACGGTAATCCATGACATTCCCATACTCGGACTGCCCGAAAGAACGCCATACAGGCATGTGCCACCAATGATCCTGCTTCGGGAACAAGGTGATACCATCCTTGACGTCGTGGGAGGCATTCCACAGAGCCATACATGGCGGCTCCATGCCCATGGATGCCGTGTGTGTTGCCACAAATACATCCAGGCTCGCCATGCGCCTGTATGACAGACCTGATACCACCTCGGAATGCACGTGAATACGCAGGAGCTGCAACAGCCTGCGCAAGCCAGCATACACCCAGCCGCCGGGTCGGACGAATACGTGCGAACTCCAGTTCGCTATACCAGCTTGGGTGCACAGCCGATTGAATACTTCCGCAAGTGTGCCCAGATACTGCGCGGCTGGATCTTTGAAACCATCAAAGTTGCCGAATACCAAGCCAGGGTAGAAGTATACAGCGAACGCCATCCACTCTGGGGTCTCGATGCCTCCCATGCGCCGCTGGTTCTCGACCATGCCGTTCTCCTTTGAACGGCGCGTGCTCTCCGCGGTCGACACGCGCAGGCATACACCCGTGAGTCCCTGCCACATACACGGAAAATACACTGCGGTCGCGAACCACGTGGTCTCGCGCAGCACCTTTCAGGAGAGAAAAAAGTACCAATACCACCAGCTAAGGGGGTGGCCGCGCCTTCCCCTCGAGCTGGTGGCACCTCGTTCCAGGCACTCTCTGGAGGCATGCCCGGAAGGAACCACCAGCTCGAAGAGTGAGCGGCCACCCCCCTAGCTATGTGGTACTGTTGTCTCTCCTGAGCCTTGAGCCATTGGAATACCAATCCGTCCCCGCCGGGTGACACAGACCAGCGCCTCA